GATTCCTAACTCAGAGATATTTCCAACACGCGGAGTCTCTCCCTTCCCTCCTTTTTTTTTTCCTCTGGTTTGTCCATTTTTGTTTTGCTTTGAAAGGCACAATTATCTTGCTTCACTACTGAACTTGAGGTTGGGTGAGTATAGATATTGCTAGGAAAGTCTGATTAAGATAGATTTAGGGTTGTTCTATCATTTTTGATAAAATTTAAAAAATCCTCTAGTAATATTTGAAATATACTTCTCAATACCCATCCCTTCTGCCTTTGCTCATTTGGCACATGGCATGAAACCTGTCATATCAGGTACATTACCTAAGAATAACCTTGCTTATGACTTTTCATTTGGTTGCTCACCTGCCCCAAAAGTGTCTCCATTTACAACATGTGTGTCATTTATACTTAATTTCTCTATAGTCACATATCCAAGACTAAAATTAAGTGAACAGTTTTGATGATCCTATTTGATGCAATTATCTGTGGTTTTTCTCAAAAAATGCATCACAGTCTCTAAAATTACAGATAGGAAGTTTGAGACATAATTTCTGAAGTGACAGTCAAGGAGAAATGTTAGCATCTATGGAGACAGAGGTATTATGATATGATGATTTGACTGATGCCCGAATCTGCAGAAAATTAAGATTATTTTATATGTGAAACTCAAGTCATGTTGTACTCCTGTGCCCTGTACTTGAAAGCAAACACATCTGAGCTGGCCTTTGTCAGGCATGCAGCAGCTCTAAGACGGCCCTGCGAAACTGTAGAGGAGTCAGTGAATACACTGTATTTCTTACATTAAATTGGGACATAAAAGCCATTTTGTGTTGCTGCTTCAGTTTCTCCACCCTCAGCCTGACTTACAAAACCAAGATGTATAACCACACATATCAACCTAGAACTTTGCCCTATGATGTATTGTCTCTGAAAGCCTCTTTTCTCCTTCCTGTCAGTCCTCAGCAGCACTAGGGCTGAATGAGTGGTCGTGTTATTCACTGATGTGTGTGGCTATCATCCTGCATGAGTGGGTCTGTTTCTGTCCTTGACTCACTTTTTCTTCCTTCCTTTCTTTTTCTCTCTCTTCCTCAGTCTCAGTACCAGCCAGACCTTTTCTGTTTAACTCTATTCTTTTATTTCTGAAACACTCAGAGTGCTATTCAGAGATGTATCTGTACGGAAAGAACACACCTAGAGAGCTCAACACTGTGCAATAGGATGTACTCCCTGAAAAATTTCAAATCCAGACAGCACTGTTGTCCTTCACTTCAGTCAATAACAAAAGCGAACCTATTCTCCTTTTGAATTTATGACAGAGATAGCTCAGGTAATGAGCAAAATGACTCTCTGAATATGTGTCTTGACAGATGTAAAAATGACCATAAAAAAAGACTATGGCAAACACTGCAGAAAAGTCAGATTTGACATTGACAGTATTTTCAAACAAAAGTCTGTATAAATATCAGATGCTGCAGATATGAATGAGAGAAGCACATTCTCACAAGGGGAGGTTGCCAAAACCTGAATATTCCTTTAGCAAATAAATTAGGAGTATAATTACATACACATTGAAATATTTCTATTTAGCATGAGGAACAGTCCGAACTACATATTTTTTACATTTTTCTTCTTCTCACAATGTATATCCTCTTGGGTTAAGTGGCAAAGGAAAGTATATTAGAATAGTAAGAGTAATTAATACTGATAATATTTTATAATTATGTAGTACCTTCATATTAGTATTTGGCCCTTTTATATGAGTTTCAGAAAAGTTAAGTGATTTGCTGAACATGGGCCAGTTTACAAATTTCAGAGCCAGGATTCGAGTAAAGATCTTTGCCTCTTTCTGGTCTTTCACTGTGGCAGCATAGTATTTCTGAACAACATCTGTTGGACTCTAAACATCACAGGAAACATCATAACTTTCAGATTATCTTGGATAATTTCTATCCTAAACTGAGGTTCAAATTTCTCTCAACCCTATACTTCTTCTTTTCTTCTTCTTCTTATACTATATGACACCTCAATGCTGAATCAGAGACTGATTCAAATTTCTATTCTAAAATACTACCAGAGATACTTGAATATGTACATAGTTTAATCTTTGGGAAAATGGATTTCATGTGCAATATTAAAGATAATATATGCATAAACATATAAACATACCTTGAATTACACATTACAGAGTATCATTATAAAGAAAACAATAGTTTTAAAGAATAAAAGTAACTATGGCAACCTACAGAGTCAAATCAGGCTGCCTCCCAGGCAGCAGCAGTAGCCCCTAGTTGCCTCAGTAACTTTCCATTACAATGTGTCTCAAACACATATATTTTGAGGCACATTAGCTGAATTCCCTACTTAATGTTCTCAATTTAATTTTACCTTTCTGTGCTGATGAATAAAATAATCTGATTACACAATTTGCTTTCGGTTTGTCTCACTGAAACCTTTTCATCCTCTTGCATTTCAGAGAGCTACTTGATGCCGGAATCTCTATTTTTTTTATATCCATTAGTGAGAAGGAATTGAGACAGAGTCAGGAGACAAGAGACAGTTTTAGTAAAACAGTTCCTGAGTATCAACAGTTAGCCACCCTGACTGACTCCTGTACCCCCACATTTTCTAAGTGTAGAGGGTTGAGTGGAGACAGAAGAAAAAAACTACTAAAATCAGCAACATCTTCCTAGTTTCAAATCAAGGCTGGACTCCAAAATAAAGTGAAAACCTAAATAGATTCTGAGACGAGGATCGATTTTATTTTATTGTAGGCTGAGAAATGGTAGCATTGGGGACTTCAACAAATATTTATTGTTTACCTACAATATGCAATATAGTGTTTTAAGGTATGTGGAGGATAATAGGTGAAAGAGACTGATTTTTGCCTTTAAAATATGATCTAGTAGAACAGAAGCAGGTATGTGTGTGTCTCTCTGTGTGTAGTTTTTTCTTTTTGTTTATTTATTTGTTTATTTATTTATTTATTTTTTTTAAAGATGGGGTTTCACCATGTTGGTCAGGCTGGTCTTGAACTCCCGACCTCAGCTGATATGCCCGCCTCGGCCTCCAAAGTGCTTGGATTACAGATGTGAGCCACCACACATGGCCTAAATAAAGGTTTTATTGGTCAGTTTGGGTGAGTAACAAATTGACACACCCCCAGTTCACTATTCCATATATCCAAGTCCCTAAGGTGGCAAGAGGAGAAGCTAAGCTTATTGATGGTGAGCAAGTGGGTGGGAGGTGGAAAGGACTTGAAGGCCTCTGCGGGTTAACAAGGCGACTGGGAAAAAGTAGCATATGTACTTGCAGGGCCCAGGCTGAGCAGCAATGTGTGAGAGCTGGAAGTGGAAACATACAACATGTGTGCACTAATAAATGTGTGTATGTGCACACATACACCTGACTATACTCAGTGTGCATACCCCTAGATGTACATAGATACATGTACAAACATGTCTTCGTACATTTTGTGTATACAAAGTGTGGGTACATGCCTTTGTGTGTATCTCAGGCCATATATATATATATATGTATATATATATATATATATATATATATATATATATATATATATATACAGATAAAAAGTTCTTAGTGTCTGAATGAGTTAACATAAGTCTTCTAAGATGAGTTTTGTGATATTTGACTTTTTAAAACTGGAAAAAAGAAAAACATGGAGAATAAACAGGTTTTCTGGAGTAAAATTAAGTGGAGATAAAACTGGGAGATGGAACAGGATAATGGGAAAATGTTGATGCTATCACTTGGAATCTATTTTTAATTTAATAACAAAAAATCACTTAAGCTTTCTGAAAAAGTGTGTGGTAAAAGTTAATCTATAATTTTTTTGACTGATTGGTAGAATACTACAGAAAAAAAAAGGTAGTAGATACATAAATTCAGATACACAGGCAAGAAAAAAATGAAGGTCAGAATTACGTTAAACAATGGAAATGTAAAAAAGAGAATGTTAAGGGTTACTATGGGAAGAGAATACTGATGTTCGCAAATTGGAGATTGGAAGGAAAAGAAAAAAGATGACTAAAGACTTAATGGGCCATTAATAGAAGAAATATTAACACAAATATTAAGTTATTCATTCATCAAATATGTATTGAGCAAGAGTAAGAGAAAGGGAGCAATATGGATAGATTTGCTGGAGTGCAGTGGCACAATTTTGACTTTGCAACCTCTGCCTCCTGGGTTCAAGTGATTTTTGTTCCTCGGCCTCCTGAATAGCTGACATTACAGACATGTACCACTACGCCTGGCTTAATAGAGAAGAGGTTTCACGCAGTTGGCCAGGCTGGTCTCAAACTCCTGGCCTCAGGTGATCCACCTTCCTTCACCTCTCAAAGTGCTAGGATTACAGGCATGAGCCACTACACCCCACGTGATATAGACAGATTTTTAAGCTCAGAGATACATAGTTGTGGAGGCCAACAGTAGGCAATTTTTTTTCCATCTTGGTAAAGCAAGAGTACTTGTTCCTAAAGTGTGGATTAGAAAAGGGCCTAAGAAGAGACTCTACATACACCCCACTATTTATATTGTTTTATCAGAGAAAATTTATTCCACAGAGGAAAAGCCATGATCATTAGTTACACACAGACCTATCAACACATCCTACCCAGGCACATGTATGCATTACCACAGGAATCATAGGGATACTTAAGGCTGTTCAGACCTACTACTAGTTGGTATATAAGAACTAAAAGCAGTTTCTAATCTCATAGATATTTTTTCTTTCTCTCTCTCTCCTTTCTCTCTTTGTCTCTCTCTCCCTCTCTCTCTTTCAAGTGGCGTTACCAGCAAAAAGAAACATAAAGTGTAGCCCACCTAAATCAACAGCATACTGATGCACATTTTTTTCTCTGTCATTTTTTTCCCTGTAAGAAGTGTTTGCTATTTAAAATCTGTTACTAGATGATAATAGCAAAGCACATTTTTCTCTCTTTTCCATAGTCAACCCCATACATTTCACTTTGTATTTGCAAGTAAAAATACCTGTTGCCGTGCACATGAGAGGCACAGAATGCAAAGCTGTAATGGAGCAGGGTAGGGTCAATGACAGCACCATTTTCTGAATGTTCCATCAGTTCTGTAAGGTAGCAGAGATGTCTGTGACAGCCTCTTACACCATAACGGGCACAGTACTCATCTAACACAAAGACTTGGCCGGGGCTAAACCAACCCTGCAAAGTAGGAAAAGAATAGATATATATTCTTTCTATACTAAGATTTGCTTTCCTGAAGGCACTTTTGGGCCTTATAAACAGAAGCTGCATGAAAGTATCTTGACATTTATTACATTAGTGGTACATTTCATGTTATTTTCAGAAGAGATAATATCATGAAGTGTTAAACTGATTTGGGACACTGGTGACCTAATGCTATTCTCTCTTTACTGTCACAGCAAGGCATGGGTAACTTGTGCTTCCCCACTATCATTCAAAATTAGCCACATTTATTTATAGGATCTAAATGATCACACACAAAGATTTCACTCCAAAAATTTCACTCTCTTTATGAGTCAATTAAAAAGAGAATAAGAAAGAAAACATTATAGATGAAATTTCCTACTCACCAAAAGTTTCATAAAGTGAACCAAAAGAAAACGTCATCAAGTCTAGCAGCAGTATACATGCACTATTTGGGAACTTAAATACCTGGGATATTTTTCTCATTTTGTTTGTCTTCCTATGACTAACCTAACAGAGTTAGTGCTTTGTATTAGCAGTTTCTGTTCCTCCTGAAATGAGATGTTAGATGTATGTGTGTGCATGCCACCTGAACACAATAGGCAGTTTATGTGGCTAAACCTAGAGGACAGGGTTAGGTGGAGCTGGCTTATAAAACATCTTGATGAATTATATGGATTTACATAGATTAACTTAATAAAATAGGGAAGTATAGAGAGCTTTAAAAAGGAGCAGGGTAATCATGTAAGAGAAAGAAAAGAATAATGAGAAAAAGGTGAGAGGAATAAAGGAAAGGAGGAAGAAAAGAAAAGGAGGAAGAGAAGAACCATCATGCATGGTAGTTATATGGTTTCCATGTCACAGATAAATAAGATAAAGCTCAGGGATGTTAAGTGAATTGTCCGAGACCACACTGCAAATCAGCTATTGAGCCAAGATTTATATTTACAGTCATCAGACTTCAAACACTTTCTAAGCAAGTCATACTCACTCCCCTCTAGGTGCAGCGGAAGACCTTGTAGCACTTTCCTCAGACTCCATATTACACTTGGGGTCATCAACAAAATCAAAACTTTTGATAACTGAATAATATCTTTGAGTCGAATCCAAGAGGACACTATGTGTTTGTCCATGAAAAGACAGAATAGGATTTTGAAAGGATTTGTTTTACTCTCCATGTGATTGTAAAGTTTGAGTTGGATCAAGATGAAATTATACTAAATAAACAATCCATAAATGAATTAATGAACTGTTAGGGTGAGCATGGCAATAAGTTGTTTCACTTTTTCTTATCTGAAGTATCTTTAGTGGGGGAGGGCATTTTGTCTGAAATCTTATTTTAAAGATAATGTGACTTTATTGCATGAAGTTACAGGTTGAGCATCCCTAATTAAAAAGTCCCAGATCTGGAATACTCCAAAATTCAAAATATTTGAGTACTTCCATGATGCTGTTAAATCAAGTTTAGCCTAAAGTTGCCTCCTTACATATTTTCAGTTCAGCCTAAAGGTTTAACTGTACATCATGAATTGTAAACTAAATGGAACCTATAAACAGACTGTAGTCTACTATTGTGCCAATCACTGAGTTTGGGCCAATCAAAGGTGGCCAACTTTTCAAACTGTGTTCAAATAAGGCAAATGCTGAGCTGTAACCAATCTGGCTGTTTCTGTACCTCACTTCCGTTTTCTGTACATCACTTTCCTTTTTCTGTCTAAAAAGCTGCTTCTACCGTGTGGCTGCACTGGAGTCTCTGAACCTACACTGGCTTGGGAGGCTGCCTGATTCATGAATTCTTCTTTGCCCAATTAAGCTTGGTTAAACTTAATTTGGCTAAGGTTTTTCTTTAAACAATGCTCAAAGAAAATTGATTTTGGATTTTTAGATTAAGGATGCTCACCTTGCATATAAAATGCAAATATTTTAAAATCTGAAGAAAATTCAATATCTGAAACACTTCTGGTCCCAAGCATTTTAGATAAGAAATATTCAACCTGTACTATGCTCAGTGTCCAAGAGATTAAACTGGTGATAGAAATAGGCATATTCTGGCTGTAAAAATTTCAGATGAATTGCTATTAACAACATAAATGCTTGGAAAAACACACATAGTTCTTAGGTTATAAAGTTTAGTCCCCATATTCTGAAGTGTCAAGCATTCCTTTTAAATAAATTATACTTCATATCCTAAATTTTGGCTACAATTTCAACACATACCAAGAAAGAGTTTACTCAGTTTAATTGACTCCTTTCCTTTTGTCAAGGAATTCAAGTTATATTTTGGATGGCTAGATGAAACTAAAACTAAAACTTTCCTGTCATATTTTCAATTCCACTCTTTCTCTCCCCTGACACTTAGTTTATCCTTATAAGAGCAAAAGAAAGAAATGTGAGGTGTCAACATCTGAGGAACAGAACTTCAACTTTAACATGTCTGTACAGGTGTAAGTCCTGTAACAGAGGCTTTAAAAAGTCTTCATTTAAAGCCTTCCCTTTTCACTGAGCCTTCTTTAAAGGGACTTACAAACCACAGTTTAGCATCTATTTGAGTCTATTCTCCTGTCTATTGAGTGGCACAGCAGTGGTCTTCAAGTGTATAATTTTCAAATTGGGAAGCAATCGATTGGAATCCTTTATCCTTCAGTCCAACTACCATTACTAAATGAGTCAGGGATAAAATTGCTACTTTGTGACAAATATTTCTCACTTTCTAAAATCTTTTATTTCAACCTATAGGGGACTAGATAGATAGACTTGTACTCACCAAGCAAGAATAGGAATCATTCAGTCTGTGATCCAAAGTCTGCCTCTGGAGTATTCTAAAAAGGAAGGCATGATCAAGCTTGCAGGGGTTTGCAGAAATAAACTCATCCATGCCATGTTTCTGAAAACGATCTCCATCTGTAAATTAGGGTATAGTATATTTACTTTTCAGGCTTAATGATGGACAGATACAGGTTGTAAAGAACAAAAAATGTATGACTCATAACAGAAGATTACCTTTTATCACATAAAATATGATGCCAAGAATTCAGCATATTAACATAAATGGGAAACTTTTTGAAGCCTAAGTAAAAACGACAGTGAAAAATCTACAAATTATTTACAATGAAGTAATTCTGTTTCCATTCAAAGCTATTGCTAATATCCATCAGAGGAATAATCTTATTTTCCAACATTGAGAAAAGTTATATTTAAGTCTACATTTACTGATGGAATTGACTAGAAAAGAAGTAAGGTCTATTAATAAAAAACAGCAACGATGGCCAGAAGACTGCTTTCCAAATGGCAAACTAGGGCAGAAATGAACACACACGCTTCAGCTGGATCACTTCCAGTCTTCTTTTTGTATGGAGCTTTTAATGGGACCATCCTTAATGTAAAAATGGCAATGAGCGCTCTCAAGCTTCAAGTTTAAGAGACATAAAAAAGGGAGCATCATGTTTGTGCAAATATGCAGACAAAGCATAATGTCCCAAATGGCACTTCAAAGGCCCAAATTTATTGTTCTTTACAGATTGCATATTTCAACGCCTGTAGACCCTGCGGGTTTATCAAAAGGCAAGCTTTATGATTGCTTTCATTAATGGTATGTTTTGTCAAAGTCTTCAATGTGAGTTATTTACTAAGTATAGGGGAAAAAAGCCACACACTACCCCAAAGGAGTGCTGGGGTGTTATTACATTAGCTCTGTAAGAAACATAGCGCATATTGAGCAAGCAATCAGTTATGAAGATAAAAGTGGTCTCTTCTCACAATGGTAAAACTGAAGCCCCATTGTTCCTTAAAATTCATAGATAGATCTCTTTCTGGTCATCATAAGAAAAGCAGAGTTCTAAATGTAAGCTAAGTGTAGTTTCTGAAACTTACATAGTACAATCCTAAAATTGTAAAGGAAAAGAGACAAAAGTTTATTGACTAAACCCAATTATAGAGTTGGACTCATAATAAAACTCAATATTGATCTGTGGACATGATGCTAACATAATCAGTCACATTTAGATATTTAGCCCAGATCATATTGATCCATGTCAAGTTCAACTTTCAGCCATATTTGTAGATGGAAGAACTGTATAATTCAAGCTGAAGGGTCCTCAGAATCACACTAAAAAAAAAAAAAAAAGATACACAAACTAATGTACATCTCACTCAATGACAGATATGAAAAGGTGAATATAGCAAGTAATCAATGAATGGCAGCTTATTGATATGTAGGGTATGAGGTTGTAATCCACGGAGAAAATAGCATATATATAACTTTACATTTAATAATTACCTGAATGATTAAATACATTACATGTGATAAATTAATATTAACTGGATGAACACAAAACTAAACAGCTTTCCCTGAGCTAACATACAATTCAACTTCTTTTGTATTTTATTCTTCTGTCTCTTTTACTATAAAGTTAAATATATGATAATGTAATGTTAAATAATATCAGATGAGTAGGAGGCAGAATATTAAAACTGTAAAGCTCACATAAAGTTGGAAGTTTTTTTGTATTTTAAAAAATTTTCTTAGAATATTCATTTTTCCATTTATCTCAGCAAAAATTCTTTTAGTATCATTATTATGAAATTAAATTACTAGTTTTATAAAACACCTGCTAAATTTTATACCTTATTTCTTGCACCCAAGAAGGTTACAATAGGAGTTAAAAATAACGCCAATTAATGGTTAATTTGTTGAGAACAGGACAGTAATAAATTTCACAGGAAAAAGGCCTACTATAAAGATTTGCAGAAGCAATTAAAAAATGGGCATACAATCTTTAAATAAAAATGTGATTCTGAAAAAGAGTCTATAGTTCATTTCTATAATTAAATCATACTTTTGTAAATTTATAAAGTACTTTCCTCAGGTAATACATATTCCAAACCATATGTCTGCTAAAGTAACAAGTCTTTCCAAATCACATACATGAATGGAACATTATTTTTCAAACAATTACTATTAGTGATAAAAATGATATTAACCATAGAACTTTGAGTCACAAATACAGACTCTACTTGGAAAAAACAGGCAAATAAACCCACTAAATTTTTTATTTAAGAAAATAAAAATAAATAAATAAAGAAAGAAAACCAACAACCTTCCATTTCTCTGGAGCTGTAATTTTATGATAGTGAAATGTGCTCTTTGGAATCATTCTATCTTTAAAACACAGGTTGTGAAGACCAAGCATCTATACTTCTTTCTTTCTATATCAGATCAGCTCCATTTGGAACATTTCATGCAAAAAATACATCACCATGTGCCAGTATAGCCTTAGTTTCCATGAATTTACATATAAAATAAATTAAAAAGTAACATTCTTGACCTCCCTGAATGAAAAAATGAAAGAGAGACAGACAGACAGACAGAGACAGACAGGCAGGCAAGTAGATAGGCTGTGTTTCATTTTCAAGAACAGGCAGTTTCAGTTTGCTGTCCCTCTGGCCCTTGTTTTAAACAAAATAACAGCAATGTATACAAGTGTTTCTAAAATATTGAAAGTGCCAGGCATGGTGGTTCATGCCTGTAATCTCAGCACTTTGGGAGGCTGAGGTGAGTAGATCACCTGAGATCAGGAGTTCGAGACCAGCCTGGCCACCATGGTGAAACCCTGTCTGTACTGAAAAATATTAGCTGGGTGGTGGGCACCGGCTACTTGGGAGGCTGAGGCAGGAGAAATGCTTGAACCCGGGAGGCTGAGGTTGCAGTAAGCTGAGACTGCACCAACTGCATTCCAGCCTGGACCACAAAGTAAGACTCCATCTGCTGCCCCCCCAACAAAAACATACTGAAAAGTGAAATGTAAGACAACAATAGCATCAAAGCTAGGAGGAGAGAAACAGACACAATACTACTGAAATGCTTTTTTAATAATAAAATTGTGTGTGTGTTTGTGCATATATTTAAGCATTACAACATGATATTATGGGATACATATAGATAGCAAAATGGTTATATACAGGAGAAAATTAACAATTCTATCATGTCACATCGCTGCTTTTTTGTGACAGAGAAGCTAAAATCTACTTACTTAACAAAAATCACTAACAGTACAATTTTCTGGATTCTAGTTGTTATGTTGTACATTATATCTCTAGACTTGTTCATTCTACATACGTGCTAGTTTCCATCCTTTGACTTACACCTCCCCATTTCCTCCCTGCCATCTTTAGCTTTAAAGTTCTCTCATGAACTAACGTAATATAGGAAATCAGATACCATTAAAATATTACCTAGTTTCTTATTTTTATAAAGACATACTTTCACATAGCTTTCTACAGGCATAACATATCTGTATGTAACTCCTGAGAGACACAGGCATCACCTAAATCAAATGCAAAACACGCTTTTAGTCAATTACTGAATCCAAGGCTTCAAATAGGGTTATACTAGATTATCTTCAATTAATATTACTATAACACGACATGATGGTAACTAGTTTTAAACAGAAAATTATCTGTGGTGTTTCTAAAATTTCTCTGATGATGGAAATTTTTATTTCAATCTATCTTCTGAAAAAATATGACAACTATCAAAACAAACCAACAAGCTATGAGCTTAAGCAATATGCTACAAAACTGTCATAAATTGTGATGATTAACCTATGGACTAACTACAGATGTGGGACACGGTAACTGAGGATACTGGTGGAGTTTCTATGGCAACACTTGGATATATGCTCCAGCTTCTTTAGGCGGTACTGTCACCAGGTGTGCTAACAGTAGATGGAATGAAACCCAAATTGAGAAAGATTACTATTTGCTATAGATTTAAGAAGTTATGAGGCTTTATGTAAGTGAAACCTAAAAATTAAACTTTTTCATTAGGATAACAGCTGCTGGAAGTTAAGAGAAAAGAATAAGCAGTAGGTTGACAGTATCAACTTAATACAGACTTGAAAATAGCTAGTATAGAAAATGACATGAGGACTATCAGTGAGCTAGTAGACCCCACCACTATGGTGAGGGGGCTTTTTTGTGGGCACTGACCACAACCTGCCCCTTAAGTGCTCAAAAATCCAAATCCCAGGAAAGGCATCTAAGTCAGAGAGAATGTGAGATTAAAAAAAATAATAACTGAAACATTTCTTCTTTTTTTGCCACAAATTCTAGTGATACTGCATTTGTTCCTGCTCCCATTGTGAAAAATCATAAATATAAAAGGAAAAGGGGAATAAAAGCTAAAGGGGCATTCTGGAGGAGAAAAGGAGGCCATTTATTAGCTTTCCGAGGTCACTCCAGTGTCTGGGAGTGGGACTCTAGTATCAAAAGGACTAAGAGGATGCTGTCAGCCAAGATTGCTCTCTGCAAAACACCGAGCTGAACTAAGCAGCAAATGAATCTTTTGAAATATAATACAATGTACTGTCCTGTGTTTAGGAGTTCATCTGTAACTGCATTTACCACTACTCACATCTGCTTATACACTTTTTATAATTCAAATGCTCATAGAGCTTAAGAAGGTACAGGAAGTTAAAAGTGACACAGCAAAGTAGGTGTCACTTCTCTTTTTATACCATCCATGTAGGCTTTAATAGGAAGAGTTTAATATTTTCAAATTTTACCTAGATCGGTCTGGACAGTATGTCCACATTTTATGTACACATTTTCTGCTGAAAAGCAAAGGAGTTTGTTCACACCTCTATTACTGACCCAAATAATTGTTTAGCTTCTTTTGCTTAAATTGATTCAAAACTCGATATATGAATTAACATATCTTGTTTTCTGCAGCAAATAACACATAAGTAATACTTCCACATGATGACAACTTTGATCAACACAGAAGCTTAGAAGTACAAATAAGCAAAGTAAGTATTGAACATTTATTAGAAAAAATATGTTCAATGAAAAGAAAGACAAATGCATTTCCTATGAAGTGTGAAATTTAACATATTAGATCAATCAGGAAAATAAGTCCACAAAATTAAATGTCAGTTTGTATTTCAATGTAAGAATGTAAAAATATTAACTTAAAAATAAAAAAGATGGCAGTTTTTCTGGTTAATTTTTGATATTAATTTATTATTGGAACTACTACTATGTGATATTGTATTATGTAACCTACAGGTTGTATTACGTTACATATGTAACTGAGGGACAGTGAAAACCAGGGTACATGCACTGAAATTTGGTTGGAGAAAACAAAGAAGGATAGTTTAACCAAAGACTGTTAGTCAATTTGGCAATGATAGTACGTTATATTTGAAGTGAAAAATTGTTTACCAGCCTCATCCCCACCCCTTCAGCTCACTCTATTCCCTTAGAATTTTTATATATCCAGAGAGTCAAACAACAAAAGAGATAAGTGGAATTGATTTGCTTATTAGAGAAATCTATACATACATATTATTAATGTCCTAAAAAGATATGGTTGTCTTCCAGTAAGTTAGATTTTATATTTTTTTATTTTTCTTAGTTATTAGTATGCTTAGTATTAAAAAAAATAAGGTTTTTTTTTTTTTTTTTTTTTTTTTTTTTTAAGCAACCTCTGTTGCTAGGTGCCAGGCTGGAGTGCAGTGATGCGATCTCGGCTCACTGCAACCTCCGCCTCCTGCCTCAGCCTCCCAAATAGCTGGGACTACAGACACACGCCACCATGCACAGAAAAAAATAAGCTTCTTTTTAAGATTAATACTTAATGCTAAAGCACTGGGTTTGTGAAAAATAAATAAAAATACATACTTCAATGAAAAATCAAATATAGAAGAAATAGAGTAGCAACTAGTGCCTCCAATAAAACACATCCACTGAATATTTTAGGTGTAATTCTACCTATATTTTGTTTTATAAATTGGATGGCTTTTTAATATAGTGAAAATAATACATGTCCAATTTAGTATTTTTTCCACTTAGCATATTGACCATTTGTTTTGCATGTTATTATAACACCTTAATGGCTATTACCTTTGTGCCTATATGAATGGTAGATATTAGGTTGTTTCTACTTTTTTCACTGTGATAGACATTTTTGTTTTGTAAACAATAAAGCTAACGTAAATATTCTGGGTTTAGCTAGGAAGTAGAAGATTGATCCTGTAAACAAGATCATGATATTCCTCAAACTTTGTATTATTAAAATTATTTAAAAACATTTAATTTAAAAAATCATGAAAATACTTACCTTTACCAGCTACAGGTCAGCAAAGAAATGAGAAACAGAGCATATTTAAATGAATTGGGAATGTATATATAGATAGATAGATAGATATATACATTTTCTGATATGGAGTCTCGCTCTGTCACCCAGGCAGCATGATCTCAGCTCACTGCAGCCTCTGCCTCCCGGTTTCAAGTGACTCTCCTGTCTCAGCCTCCTGAGTAGCTGGGACTACAGGCATGTGCCGCCATGCCCTCCTAATTTTTGTATTTTTAGTAGAGATGGGGTTTCACCTCATTGGCCAGGATGGTCTTGATCTCCTGACCTCATGATCCCCCTACCTCAGCTCCCAAAGTGCTGGGATTACACGCGTGAACCACCGCATCTGGCCTATATATATTTATACAACCAGACATTTACAATTTTACTTTATTTGCTCAATGTCTACTTGTGATTTTAAAATTGTTCTTCTAAAAGATCATTAGGAAAGAAAACAAAAAATGATTATATAAGTCAATGGAGGGAGGAAAATACTATGGGTGAAACTACGCTCTGGAGGAATTCATGGCATTTCTCTGATAGGGTCAGTAATCTCATTCTGATGAGGTAGAACATTTTCTTTTTTCCTTTCTTTTCACTTTTCTTTCTTTCTTTCTTTCTTTCTTTCTTTTTTTGAGATGGAGTCTTGCTCTGTCTCAAGGCTGGAAGGCAGTGGCACAATCTTAGCTCACTGCAACCTTGGACCTTCTGGGTCCAAGCTATTCTTCTGCCTCAGCCTCCTAAGTAGTTAGGATTACAGGTATGCGCCACCATACCTGGCTAATTCTTGTATTTATAGTAGAAATAAGGTTTTACTTTTTTTTTTTTTTTTTTTTTCAAAGAAAGATAAAGCAGAAGCAGCAGAGGTCTGCCCTGATTAAAAACTTTGCTAGCCTGGATACAAGTCAGCTGTTGTTAACAAATTAATACCGTTTGACTTTGTAGTTATAACAATTAAGTTCAGTTCCCACAGCCTAATCAATTCTGCCTTGACAACAAATTAATATCAAATAATGGGAAGGTTTTTTTAGCAACAGATTACAGGGCTGGATGCAGTGGCTCACGCCTGTAATCCCAGCACTCTGGGAGGCCAAGGCAGCAAGATCACCTGAAGTCAGGAGTTCGAGACCAGCCTGGCCAAGGTGGAGAAACTCCATCTCTATTAAAAATACAAAAATTAGGCGGGTGTGGTAGCATGCACCTGTAATCCCAGCCACTTGGGAGGCTGAGGCACAATAATTCCATAGCCTGATCAATCCTGCCTTGACTATAATTTGATATCAAATAATAGAAAAGTTTTGTTAGAAACAGATTACAGGGCCAGGCACAGTGGCTCATGCCTGTAATCCCAGCACTTTGGCAGGCTGAAGCCGGCAGATTACCTGAGGTCAGGAGTTTGAGACTAGGTTGGCCAACATGGAGAAACCCTGTCTTTACTAAAAATACAAAAATTAGGTGGGTGTGGTGGCACACACCTGTAATCCCAGCTATTGAGATTACTTGGGAGGCTACGTGGGAGGTTGAGGCATGAGAATGGTTTGAACCCTGGAGGCAAAGGTTGCAATGAGCCAAGATTGCATCACTGTTCTCCCTCTCTCTCCAGAGGCAGACTCTGTCTCAAAAAGTTCTGTATCATTTAGTTACAGTCTTAAAGTTCTATATTAGTGGTTCCTAACCACTTTTCTTGCCACTGTGTGCAAGTAACAATAGCCATGAGCTCAGCACATTCCTTGGGCATTCCTTGCATTCAGGATGTTAAGAAAAAATATGGGAACACAAGTGAAGGAGGATGATAATATTTATTTTTTAATAGTTATTTTATTTTTTAAAATAGCTATCAAGTCAGTGTAATTCTGTGGTTCTCAATTGGGGCGATTCCTCACCAACAGCAACCCTACCCTCTGGTACATTTGGCAATGTACAGAGATATTTTTGATTGTCGGACCAAAACCAGTCTCCAGGTGGGAGACTATTGGTATCTAGTGGGTAGAGAACAGGGATGATGTTAAACATCACAAAATGCACAGAAAAAGTCCTTTACTCCACTTCCTGCCCTGAAATAAATAATTAGCCCAAAATGTCAATAGTGCTGAAATTGAGAAACCATGCTTTAACTAACAAAAAATTCACTCTGCTTCTGGTCATGATGGCATAATGGAGAATAAATTTACCCTCCTAACTGAACTAAGTATTTAAAAAAAAATTTACAATCTTAAATGCTGCATGTTGGGCAATCCAGGAGAGTGATTCCTAAGAAATGGGAAACAAGGAGAGCCTTACAGTCATCCCAGGTTACTTCCAGGAGAAGCTCTATAGCCCATGGCACAAGGAACAGGAACTAAGTCCAGTGGTCTCCCTGAGTTAAGAAGATGGAGCTGACAGTTAAGTAGGGCCACAGTAACTAGAGTTTGTAGGAAAGAGGACTGGAGAGAAGAGAGTTGCACAGCAAGAGACTCTCAAGATCTGCAGAAGGCCTCCCACAAGAATTCAGCTGATTACCCATCAGCCCATGCATGCGTAGAATGGGAAAGAAGGAATCTAAAGGATTCGAGAGGACAGTGCCCCAAACTTACACAGCCTAGAATAGCACTGCTTCTCAGCAGCAAGAATATAAAATCTCGGCCGGGTGTGGTGGCTCACGCCTGTAATTCCAGACTTTGGGAGGCCGAGGCAAGTGGATCACTTGAGGTCAGGAGTTCGAAAAAAGCCTGTCTAACATGGTGAAATCCCATCTCTACTAAAAATACAAAATTAGCCTGGCATGGTGGTGCATGCCTGTAATCCCAGCTACTCCGGAGGCTGAGGCAGGAGAATAGCTTGAACCTGGGAGGTGGAGGTTGTAGTGAGCCAAGATTATGCCACTGCACTCCAGCCTGAGCAACAAGAGCAAAACTCCATCTCAAAAAAAAAAAAAAAAAAAAAAGAATATAAAATCTCATAATTCACAGGTTATCAGTTAGAGTATTAAGAAGGATGCTGGTCTAGAAATGGGAGATGCATCCTGGACTGAACATTGCTTGGTCTCATCTAACAAAACTTGAAAGCAAAGCTTGAAAGGATCAAATTGTTACCAAGTAACTTAACTGTGTCTCAGAACAAGCATTTTTATGAAGAAAACTATACCAAGGGACATCATAATTAAATTGCTCAAAAATGATGTTAAAGAGAAAAATCTTTAAAGCAGCTAGAGGAAAAAAAGACAATATTTATAGAGGAACAAATGAAAATGACAGCACATTTCTCACTGGAAAAACAAATGCAAGCTAGAATAAAGTGGAGAAACATCTTCAAAGTACTAAAAAAAAAAATCTTCAAAATGGGGGTAAAACAAAGACATTTTATATATAAAGAAGCTAAACAAGTCTTTACTATTTTGAACAGTGCTGCAATAAACATACGTGTGCATGGTCTTTATAAGAGAATGATTTATAATCCTTTGGGTATATACCCAGTAATGGGATTGCTGGGGCAAATGGAATTTCTAGGTCTAGATCTTTGAGGAATAGCCACACTGTCTTCCAAAATGGTTGAACTAATTTACACTCCCACCAATAGCGTAAAAGCTTTCCCTTTTCTCTACATCCTCTCCAGCCTCTGTTGTCTCCTGATTTTTTTAATGATTGCCATTCTAAATGGCATGAGATGGTATCTCAATGTGGTTTTGATTCGCATTTCTCTAATGACCAGTGATGATGAGCTTTTTTTTTCATGTTTGTTGGCTGCATAAATGCCTCGTGTATATCTATGTAAGTAACAAACCTGCACGCTCTACACATGTACTCCAGAACTTAAAGTATAATAAATAAATAAAGTTCCCCCCAAAAAAGAAGACAAATTAATTACCAGCAGATCTGCACTACAAAAAAAAGTCAAAGGAGGTTCTTCAAGAAGTAAAAGTATGTGCACTAGACTATGAAAGGCACTGGAAATGGTAACTACATGAACATGTATATAACATTTTTCTTTCACTTTTAATTTCTTTAAAAGATATTGACTCCGGCAATAATCATAATAGCAATGTACTGTGGGATTTGCAACATATATAGAAGTAAAATATATGACAAGAATAGTGCAAAAGACAAGAGAGGAGAAATAGAGTTTACTATTGTAAAGTTCACATATTATACATAAAGTTGTATAATAAATTTAAAGTGTATACTTTAAATTTTAAAGCAATCACAAAGATAACAAAACAATTGGACTGAAATAAAAAATTCCATTTATTCTAGCAACAAAAATGAAATACCTAGAAATAAATCTGACAAAAGATATGCAAGATCTGTTCACTGAAAACTACAAACATCCTAGAGAGAAATTAAAGACTACCTAAAAAAATGAAGTGATACATTGTACTGAAGACTCAATATTAAGAAGTCAATTTTCCAGAATTTTCCAAGGACTGACCTATAGATCAACCTCTATTTTTTCCCATAAAATCCCCAGCAAGGAATCTCAAGATGTTTTAAAAATTTACATTGTACTCCATAAATATAAACCATCATTATTTGTCAATTAAAAATGAATAAATTTATTTTAAAAATTCATAGAGAAATACAAAGGACATAGAATAGCCAAATATCTTTGAATAAAAGAAACCAATTTGGAGGACTTGGATTATCTGACTGTAAGATTTACAAATCTATAGTGATCAAGACAATGTGGTAATAATATCAAGATAGATAAACTTATCAAAGGAAAGGAAAGGATAGCTCAGAAATAAACTCATGTGTAGTCAATTTGATTTTTCACAAACGTGTAAGAGCCATTCAGGGCACAATGCTCTTCCAATGCTCTTTGTTTTAGAACAACTGGACATCAATATGCCATCCATAAATACTAATAGATACCTCTCACCATATACAAAAATTAACTCAAAAGCTGTAAAATGTAAAAGCTAAAATTATAAAATTTCTAGAAGAACACATAGAAGAAAATGTTTGCAATCTTGGGTTAGCCAAAAATCCATTAGTTATAACATCAAAAGCACATTTATG